TGGCGATTCACAGACCTGTACCCCTGGGGATAAAAAGATATTATATGTTTATGAAAAATAAAATTTAAAAAAAAAAGTATTTTTTAAAATATCCCATATTACAAAAGGCTTACAATCTACTTTAAGAAGTAAGCTATATTTATGAAATGATTATTAGAAGTGTCAGAATGAGAATAGGGTAATTTCTACTTTTAGATCAAAGCACTGCAACTTTTGTAAATAGCCTCAAGAAGACATTTTGGTAACCAATGTACCATTGCCTCTTTTGGAAATGGGAGTATGAGATGGGAAATAGAATTCTTTACTATAAATGAATTATCACAAAACTAGCAAAATGAGATAGGAATTCTAAAAACTATCTGGATCCATTCAAAAGCAAAATCATACTTTTTACTGGGCTGTGGTGATATTGCAGTGAAAACATAGATACCCTCCCTACCCTCATGGAGGTTACAATTTTAAGAGGAGTAAATTGTTAATGAATAAAAGAAAAAGTAGCTCACTCTGGGCTAGAGTATACAAAAACAGTTTTATAATGTCAGTTGAATAGAGTATACCTACTATGCTAAAAAATTTTTGACCTTGAACAAGTATCCTAACCTTTTTGAACCTCAGGAGGCTCATCTGTAAAATAGGAACAATAATGAATATTGTAATAACATATTGGGTTCAGAGCCTGGCACTTGGTAGCTACTGTAATTATTATTGGTTTGAATAGCACTAATGAATGACCAGATTAGTATATTCAAAAGAAATAGGGTATTAAAGGATGTAGCAAAATAGTAAGAAAGCAAGATGAATGTTCCTTTATGTTCAAGATATTAGGGAGACTTACCAGTTTCCTATAAAAATTTGTATTGGGAGGTAATAATGTGTAATTACAAGCAATGTATAAATTTAATGTACAAAGCTAATGTATAAACCTTTTTTAAGGGGGGAAGAGGCAGAGGGAAAGAGAGAGAATCTTTTTTTTTTTTTCAAAGATTTTATTTATTTATTTGAGAGAGACAGTAAGAGAGACCGTAAGAGGGGAGAAGGTCAGAGAGAGAGGCAGACTCCCCGTGGAGCTGGGAGCCCAGTGCGGGACTCAATCCTGGGACTCCCAGATCATGACCTGAGCTAAAGGAAGTTGCTTAACCAACAGAGGCACCCACGTGCCCTGAGAGAGAGAATCCTAAGCAGGCTCCACACCCAGCATGGAGCCCTCTATAAGTCTTAATCTCATGAGATTATGTCCTGAGCAGAAATCAAGAGTCTGATGCTTAACCGACTGCGTCATCCAGGCGTCATTAATGAATAAACCTTTAAAAGAAATTGTTACTATTTTACTATTTTCTTGATTAGCCTGAAATAGGATTTGTTTTGTTTTACTTTGTTTTTTGAAGGCTTTTTTGTTAATATGACAGTAGCTTTTATATGGGGAAGTCTTTTTATAATAAAAAAACTTTGCTTACCAACTATAACTCTTTACCTTTTCAGAAATTGGAAATGCTTATGCTGTTTTAAGCAATCCAGAAAAACGAAAGCAGTATGACCTCACAGGCAATGAAGAACAAGCGTGTAATCACCAAAACAATGGCAGATTTAACTTCCATCGAGGTTGTGAAGCTGATATAACTCCGGAAGACTTATTTAATATATTCTTTGGTGGTGGATTTCCTTCAGGTATTTTAATGTTAGTTGTAAATAATATATTTTATGAAGCTAGAGATTCTCACCTAGATTATCTACCTTCTCCCCTGCATTTCGTACACTGTTAATGATCCCCTGATGATTTTTCATGAAGGTAGAAAAAAGTGTTAGACTTACTACCTTTACTGTGAGTTTACCTTTTTTTGAGAAAATGTTTTATCTTTTGAAAAAAAGGAGTACAGATATTCTCTATTTTATATAAAGCTGAAGAAAGGATGTATAAGTAGGAAATCCACTGGCAGTGTCTTATTTAAATGCTATTACAATTATAGGAGGTATCCTATACCCAGACGAAAATTTGACTTTGGTTCTCTGAAGACCTGTGTAGATATTTCATTCATAACATTATAAATTGCTAATTTGGATGTATTTGGAGGTACTTTCCATTGAAATATTAAAAAGTCTGATTCATAGGTTATATATAAAGTAAATGGGTTTTCAAAATTATATTAAGAGAGAAATAATTAGTTGAACTAGGCTATCAAAGTAAAATACTGTATAGAGGTACTACTAAATGAATTGATTTTATACTACCAGCATAAGTTGTATTGAACCCTACTTATATTTACTATGAGTTCTGTGAAAATTAATTTTCTTTCAGAATAGCTCCTATAAGGTAGTTAAAATTATAGCTCCAGTCATGTTTACAACATTTATTTAAATGCTAAGTTTTAAACACTTGATTCAAAATTAGAAGAATCTTTACGAATGTAGCAATATACTTTGGTCTGATGGCCCTGTCTAAATATTATTGAGAAAGATTATGGTCATTGATATGGCATTTTGTAAAGCATCCTTGAAGGGAAGAGAATGTGTAAATACAAATTAATGACTGAATAATATAATATAGCATATATTTTGACATATTAGGACATATAATTCTCACAGAAAAATTATTCAGAGTAGTAATTTTGATGGAAAATATGCTAGGAATAATCAGAAATCTTTCAGGTAGTAGTTAATTTGGAGTTACAGTCCTTTTGTTTGTTATAATTTACTTTGTGTCAATATTTCCGATTGCTCACCTTATTTGAAAACAACCTAAAAGTCTATCAGTAGCAGAATGTTTGAATAAATTGTGGTCCATCTCTACCATAGTATATTGTATGAATATATTTTACTCATTTTTTTTTAAAGATTTTATCTACCTATTTGACAGAGATCACAAGTAGGCAGAGAGAGAGAGAGAGAGGAGGAAGCAGGCTCCCCGTGGAGCAGAGAGCCCAATGTGGGGCTCTATCCCAGGACCCTGGGATCACGACCCGAGCCGGAGGCAGAGGGCTTAACCCACTGAGCAACCCAGGCGCCCCTATTATACTCAGTTTTTAATTTTTTTATTTATTTTTTTTTTTAAGATTTTTTATTTATTTATTTATTTGTCAGAAAGAGAGAGAGAGAGAGAGCACAGGCAGACAGAGTGGCAGGCAGAGGCAGAGGGAGAAGCAGGCTCCCCACAGAACAAGGAGCCCGATGTGGGACTCGATCCCAGGACGCTGGGATCATGACCTGAGCCGAAGGCAGCTGCTTAACCAACTGAGCCACCCAGGCGTCCCTATACTCAGTTTTTTAAAAGAAGTCTAGATTTCTAGAGGTTTTGTGATTCATTGATAAATGAGGAAAGCAGATTTTCAGAGTGATAACTAAAGAATTGTAAAAACAACCAACCACAACAGAAGTCCTCTATGAGTGCAATATTAGGCAGGAACTCTTATTCATGTTTTCATTAAGAAAGAACTTCTACTTTTTAATTTTTTTTTTAAGATTTTATTTATTATTATTTGTCAGAGAGAGAGGGCACAAACAGGGGGAGCTACAGGCAGAGGGAGAAGCAGACTCCCCACTGAGCAGGGAGCCCCATACAGGGCTCCATCCCAGGACCCTGGGATCATGTCCTGAGCCAGAGGTGAACAAATACTTAATGGACTGAGCCACCCAGGTGTCCCAGAACTTCTACTTTTTAAAAATGTTTATTTAAATCCTAGTTTATTAACATACAGTGCAATATTGGTTTTAGGAATAGAAGTCAATGATTCATCATTTACATACAAGACCCAGTGCTCATCACAAGTGCCTTCCTTAATACCCATCACCCACCCACCTCCTTCCATCAACCACCCACCTCCCTCCATCAACCCTCAGTTTGTTCTCTATCATTAAGAATGTCTTGTGGTTTCTTTCCCTCTCTCCTCCCTACTCCCCCCACCCTACTCCCATATCTTCTTCTCTTTGTTTCTTAAATTCTACATATGAGAACTTCTACTTTAAAGGAGGCAAAGTCTGGGAAGAATCATTTTTGTTTCCATCCCTCCTTTACTCACAGGAGAAAACGGCAATAAGCATTCACTACTCAAACATGCATTATTTTAGTAGTTTAAAAAAGTCAAATAAGAATGTAAAAGAAGGGGCACCTGGGTGTGTCAGTCGGTTATGCATCTGCTTTCAACTCAGGTCGTGATCCCAGGGCTCTGGAATTGAGCTGCATTGGGCTCTCTGCTCAGCAGGGAGTCTTGCTTCTCCCTCTGCCCCTTCCCCTGTTCATGCTCTCTCTCTTGCTCAGTCTCTCTCAAGTAAATAAATAAAATCTTTAAAAAATGTAAAAATGTAGAAGAAAATATGATTTTTCTGATCACAGTTGCTCTCCTTAATTTAACCTTTTAATTTTTTAGGTAGCGTACATTCATTTTCAAATGGACGAGCTGGTTATAGCCATCAACATCAGCATCGACACAGTGGACATGAAAGAGAAGAAGAAAGAGGAGATGTATGTTTATGATATGATAAGAAATCTCAAAATGGCAGATTTCTGCTCAGCAAAAGCAATTAGAGTTGTCTGAAAATAGGACAAGATGTTTTAAAAGAAAATAATGAGTGTTCTCATACCAGATGTATTCAGTAGAGACTAGACAGTTTTTAGGGATATTGAGGGAGCAGGGGTAGAAGTCAAAGTGCAGGGTGATGGGCAAAATGATACCTCTGAGTTTGTTGTTCTATGATTCTGATGAAAATACTCCTGCAGTATGCATGCTTTGAAGTTCTCATTGTTGGTCCTAAAACGTTTAGAACTAATACTGAAGAACTTCAGTTGGAAGTTACTTTCCTTGTTGTAATGTGGTTATACCCAGCTGCATATAGCTCTTAAATTACATGGAGTAGAAAGAAGCTAAATGGAAAGAACACTGGACCAGAAATTGAAAGGCCTGGGCCCTAGCTCTGCCACTCATCTGCTTCCGCATATCACCCTCAAAGTCAAGGGAAAGATAGTTTTGCAAGAAAGAGAACTTCCTCATCTGTAACATGAGATCAGTTTATGTCAGTGTTTTCCAAATCGGGGTCTCTACATAAAGCACATGGAAAGTGGTATTTTTAAGAATCACTCCAGGAAGCTGGTATGATCAGGCAGATTTGAAAGCACTGAACCAGATGATCTCAAATGTCCTTTCTGTCTCTAAAAATATATGACAACTGTTAGATTATTAACAACTACAACTATATTGCAATTTATTATTTTTTGATGATTTTTTTGTAGGGCGGTTTTTCTGTGTTTATCCAGCTGATGCCCATTATTGTATTGATCCTCGTGTCATTATTAAGCCAATTGATGGTCTCTAATCCTCCTTATTCCTTATATCCCAGATCGTAAGTAGCTAAGTGAATTTTTTTTTAATTGTTTTTTATCTAGCTTCCTTTAAAGGGCCTTGGGTTCTCTTCAACTTCTAAGTAATCTTCTCTTACTACAAGTATACCAGATTTTAAAATTGCTAATTTGAAAAATAGTTACTCAAGTGATAAGTTTGTATTATCATGTTAGTTACATTTCTGTTCCATGTGGATAAGACAGAAGTACTATTTTTGAACCTGATAGCAATTTAATGTGATAGGTAATATGTTGAAATCAAAGGCAAAAAATAGTTTAAAAGACAAAAATACTTCAAAGACAAAAGTAGGATTATAATTAATGTTATATAGATTTATATCATTGAGGAGTAAATGACTTCATTCTTTTCTTTGTAAAATATTGGTTAAAGAAAAGCAAATATTACTTTTTGTTATATGAAGTATTTTTCCACAATATACTTATATATAAGAGATCAGGACAAAAAGGAAATTTAACACAATATGCATTCTAGAAAACATTAGATGGTGAACATAAAGGAAACTTGATAAAATCATATTGTCAGTGATCTTACAGTATTTAAAACAGAGTGGCCTAAAAATGAGAAGTAACTTTTTATTTCTAAGTAAGATTTTTATTAAATAAAAATTGAAAGAACTTAAAAGAACCATACTATATTAAAATATGATTAGTTTTTATGACATGGATGGTGGTTTTAGGCAATTTGAAATAATGTAAATAAATGATTACCAATATTAACTTTTTAATTATTTTTAATTGTTTTTGTTAGCTTGGTTTGTTGTAGTAGGATCATAATATGAAATTTTAATTAAAAAATAATGATCAAGCATTTCTTTTACAGTGGATCAGGACAAACTATTAAAATGCAAACAGAAAATTTGGGTGTCGTTTATTATGTCAACAAGGACTTTAAAAATGAATATAAAGGAATATTATTACAAAAAGTGGAAAAGAGTGTAGAAGAAGATTATGTGACTAATATTCGAAATAATTGCTGGAAAGAAAGACAACAAAGTAAGTTTATGAAATCTTTAACATTTAAAAAAATCAGAGTCTTTGGAATTGATTATTGTAGATTTCCCTACTCAGAAAATGTTCTAGAATTGCCTGGCATCATAATTGGAGCTCAGTACGTCAGACAGTATGTTTTATATGGCCTTGTAACAGTATTTGGCACATAGCAAGCTCTTAGTCAATGGTATTTGTGGTGTTGTTACCAATAAATATTTGGTTGAGTAAATGAATAATACCATATTGTATTTAAGGTGTTGTCAGTTGTAACATGCATCATTATTTTATGTACCACTAAGAAAAAAAAAACTCTGGCACATTAGCTATCTCATCAGTTTTAATATGAATCCTGTTTCAGAGTAAAGTTTGAAACTCTTCATTAATTTAACTTAAACATTTAACACTTAATGTATAATGAGTTCTGTTGACATTCCATTTTCCTTTATTTATTCTATACATAACTGGGAACACCTGGTGAATTTGTTTAGCCTTTTCCAGCCTCAACTTCCATAACTTAAGAAGCAGTTCTATAAAACCTATAAAAGCTTGACCATTAGAATCTACAGAGATGCTGCATATGAAGCTAGTGTTGTTATGGTTATTGTTTTTCTGACTTATAAATAATAATGTAGACAGTATACTGTAAACTTCAGAATTAAACAAACTAAAGTTGAATCCTAGCTCTGAAATTTTTAGCTGAGTGATTAGGGCCAAATATTCTAACTTGTTTCTTTATTCCCTCAGGTGTAAAATGGATGATGATGAGTGGGAGGAGGAAATAACTGTCATTTATATAATACCCATTGTTTCAGTGACTGTCCTAAGCACTTTATATATATTTAACTCATTTAATCTCCACAATAACACGGTAAAGTTATACCCATTTTAGATACAAGGAAACTGAGGCAAAGAGAATTTAGTAACTTGCCCAGGGCCATAGAGGTAGTCCATGATTCAAACAGTCCATTAGTCTCCAGAATCCAGGCACTATGCCCCACAGTCTTCTCAGTAATACCCAACTTTATGGGTTTGTTGTGAAAATTAAATTAGACAGTAAAGTGTTTCACATGTAGTAAAATGCCCAGAAATGGTAATGGTTATCATCTCTCATCCACTAGCGAGAATTTGATAAAACATAATCTTTGTATACTTCCAAGAAAGTTCTTATCTCTGGCCTTAGTTTCTTCATCTATGTTCTATATAGTGGCAGTTAGAAGAGATACAACTTCCTTGGTGTCTCAGGCTCTGAGTCTGTGAAATCAGGGTGTTCTCAGTGTGGAGAACGTTACATTAGACTAGTGGCTTTCAAATGGGAGTGGTTTGCCTCTGCTTCGCATTACGTCTGATAATATCTGGAAACTTTTTGTGTGTCAGCACAGGATGGGGGTGGAAGAGATTATTGCTGGCACCTAAAGGCTTGAGGCCCACAATCCACAGGATAGCCCCACAACAAAGATTTGTCTGGCCCAAAAAGCTGACACTGCTGAGGCTGAGAAACTGCGTTAGCAGAAGGTCTTAAAGGCAGTGAATGCCAAATCTTTCTTAGTTCATTTCATTTCACTTTTTGATGTCTAGTGCCTTACACAATCCTTGGCACATCATAGGCAGATGGGAAACTTTTGATGGATATATGAATAATTAGGTGAAGGATTAATGAATTCATAAAAACGAATACATGAAAGACCTGCTTATTTTGTGTCAAAAGAATGACTAACACATTAAAAATATTACCTTTTGAGGTATCATGCTTAGAGAAATAAGTCAATCAGAGAAAGACAACTATCATATGATCTCCCTGATATGAGGGAGAGGAGATGCAACATGGGGGGTTAAGGGGGTAGGAGAAGAGTAAA